AGAAATGTTACTTCTGATCATTAGGTCAACAGATAAATTAATATTTCTGCTCTTCAGCACAAAGAAGCTCTAATACAGACAACAAAAATTAATAGTTTAATACGGAAAGTTCACCAGTTTAAAAAGTGTTACACAGATTGAACACAGGGCCCAGTGGAATAAGTGCTTCCCTGGCAAGGGCAAGGCCTTAGTCCAATCCCCGGTTCCTCAAAAAAAAAAAAAAAAAAGTGTTGACCTGAACACAGGGCTTTTACACCTCGGCCTACTGGCCTGCCTACCTGCCTATCTGCCTACCTATTATTTTTTTTTTGTTTTGATTACTTTAAAATGTGTATGCAAAGTAGTAAATACACGCCTGTAATCTAACTACTTGGGATGCTGAAGTAGGACTGCCATTAGGGCCTGCCCTAGTCAACTGAGTAACTGAGGCCCTGTCTCAAAACAGAAATAAAAAAAAAAAAATACACCACACCATACCAAAAACTGGGGGTATAGCTCAGTGCAAAAGTTCTGGGTTCAATGCCCAGTACTAAATTAAAATAAAATAAAAATTTAAGAAAATGTATATGCTAGGTGTGCTGCTTAGGAGGCTAAAGTAAGAGGATCACAAGTTCTAGGCCATTCTGGGCAACTTAGCAAGTCTCTAGCTCAGAGGAAGAAAAAAATAGTATAAAAATGGGACACAGGATTTTAGGATCACAGAAAACAAGGCACTGTTAGATTGCAGACTCCTTATCTTATAAAGTTTTAATAATGAACATAAATATTCTTTATACATTTACTTTATCATTTATGATTTTAGGGCAGAGAATTTAGGAAATACTTAAGAAATATATCTTCCCTCAGAAGGAAATAGATTGAAACTAAATGTCAAAAGTTCTTAGTTTGTAGGGCATAGTGGCAAACATCTGTAATCCCAGCACTTGGGAAGCCCAGGCACAAAGACAGCTTCCAGTATGAGGTAAGTCTGGGCTACAAAGTGAGTTCCAGGCCAGCCTGAACTGCAATGAAACCCTATCTCAAAAAGATAATCAATCAATCAATCAATCAATCAATCTCGATTTCACATCAATTTATCTCCATTCCTTCTTCTGCCCTCTCTAGAGTACGTAAAATTCTAGGGGGACTTTTGGGCCACTTGTCAGAATGACTTAGAAATACAAGTCAGATGAAATACCCTCCAATTTACCACGGTGCTGGATAGCAAGCTGTTTTCCACTAAAAGTTGAGTGTCTCTCATGGTTATCTTGTCATCATCTCCCAGGAAATGTAAAGCCTCTTAAAATCCTCCAGGAAAGGTGAGATGCCAACTTCAAGATAAATAAGCTAGCTGCTGAGCCGACAAGAGACTCCAGTATCTACATTTCTACATACATTTTGGATGACTGGGCTCAATAAACCATCTATATGCTCACACACCATTATTTTACCTACATTCTTCTACTTTTTTTGTACTGGGAATCAAACTCAGGACCTTGACAGGCTGGTGCTGTGCTACTAAGCTATAGCCCTAGCCTACATCCTTTCACTTGAGGACAAACCTTTTCTTTTTTGCTAGATGTGATGGCACACACCTTTAATCCCACCCAGTACTTAGGAGGCTGAGGAAGGAGGGTCATAGTGGGTTTAAGGCCAGCTTGGGCTACACAGGGAGACCCTGTCTCAAAAAAAACAAAACAAAAAACCCACTCCACAAACACACAAACAACCCCCCTTGAAGCCTTTTTCTTTTCTTTTTTTTTTTTTTTTAAACAAAAACACACCTCAATGGGTGTCTTACTTATGTTTCTCTCATTTCTGAGACAAAATACCCGATACCTAAACTCAACAGGGAAAGGTTTATTTAGTTCACAGTTTGTGAGGTTTCATTTCATAAATGGCTGGTTCCAAGGCAGGGTGGCACATGGCAAAGGAGCAATTTCATGATGGCAAAAGACAGCAAAAACAACGAGAAGGAGACATGCTTCTTTCTGTCCCTTATATTGTGTCCAGTCTACTAAAATTAGGGCAGTGCCAATGCAATCAGTGGACTGATCCAGCAATTACCCACTATAAATTTCAGCACCCTTAATCCCAGGAATACACAAGTCAATCACATACTCTAGATTCAGCCACCTCTGAAAAACCCCCACCCCACAGCATGAGGCTTTGGGGGGTACATCTAGACATAAACAATAACAATGGGACTATTACTACCTTTGTTTTCTTTACTATATTTCTGTATACTATTCAAGTTTTCTTCAAGAGATAGGCATTATCTTTTGTAATTAGTTTTTCTTTTCTTTGAGAGAAGGTTTTGCTAGGTAGTTTAGGCTGGCCTTGAACTCACTATGCAGCCCAGGATGTCCTTCAACTTGCACTTCTCCTCCTGCCTCTGCCTGCCCAGTGCTGGGAATACAGAGTTACACTTCCATACCTGGCTGTAATCAGTTTTTTTAAACTGTTTTAAACACAGTCATTATTTGTAATTGCTGACTTCTTACCAGATAATGTCTGCATATAATTCCACAACATGTCTTTATTTGCCCAAAAGTTGTCTCCATTGCCAATCGAAAGTGTATGTGACCGTTCATCCATAAGCCTGACTTTCCTTCTAGTTTGGCTTAATGGCTGATCTTCTAGGTGTACAGAACTCTTTGAACCACACATTTTGACATTCTTCAAGCCAACAGACTTCATTTCTAGCCAAATAGTTGCCTTTTACGCTTCAACAAAATAGAAAAGCAACGCACTGCTTTTTCAAAACTGAAAGTCAGTTAACTGAAGGTACAGAAACATTCCAATATAGAATATTAGCAATTCAAATCTGATTGGAGATGGGCCAGGGAGATGGCTCAGTAGAGTAAGCGCTTCCCTGGCAAGCGCAAGGGTCTGAGTTCAATCCCTGGTTCTGCAAAACAAAACAAAACAAAACAAAACAAAACACCCAAATCTGAATGGAGGACAACTGCATGCTACACTTGCAAAATATAGTTCTAATAATGTTCAGGAAAAAGATTTTTGAAAAAGAAATTTGACTGTTGTCACAAAATACTGATGCTGCCCTCATAAAGGAAAGGTTTAAGTAAGAAAAACTGAAAAGAAAAAAAAATCAGGCAAATGAAAGTAACCAGAAAGCTGAGGTTAAGAAACCTCATGTAGGGCTGGAGAGATGGCTCAGTGGTCTAAAGCACCTACTTGAAACAAGCTTGGCAAAGCACAGGGACCGCGGTTCGAATCCCCCAGCACCACATGCCAGCCAGCCCAGCCCCCTGGTGGGCTGAGCTGGCCACACACACACACACACACACACTAAAATAAAAACACTTTAAAACTCTGAAGATGCTCACAAACGTACATGAAAATTGGTACCTAAAATATGAGGTAGTCTTATAAAATTTATAGGCAGAGAAATGGTATGATCCAATGATCATTTTGGAAATGAAGGATGTCATTGAGGAGAATGGATAAGAAGGGACAAGCAGTAGTCAAAAACTACTTAACCTTTGGCCTTTGACTAGGTGGTACATACCTGTGATTCTAGTACTCTGGGAGGCTGAAGCAGGAGTAATGCAAGCTGGAGCCCATGCTGGCCAACTTCCCAATTCAGTGACACCCTGTCTCAAAAAATGGCTAGAGATGTAGCTCCATGTATAGGAATCTCATTAGTTGAAATGGAGATGGAAAGGAGCAGGGAGGTTCAAGGGAATCACACTACATTCATCTACTTTATACCAAATCAACTTTACTACAGAAAAGTTCCTTACAAAGTCTGGACCATATTTTTCT